AAAGTCCCTGAGTGTGCGCCCAGCTGTGTGACCCAGTGCGTACTTCTGAGTGGAGAAACTGTCGTTGGAGTGTCTGTGTTGGTTCAGACGGTGCTCTGATGTGGGCTGGTGTCATCACACCTCCCCAAGCCCACGTGCTTGTTCTCACCTGAGGCCTCCCAACCTCCATTCACTCCATCCCTTACTCACAGGTCACTGAATCCCTGCTGTGCGTGGGCTGCTCGCTGCAGGCCGGGTGTACATGGGGGACCTCACAGCTTTGGGGACAGAGAGAGAGTAGCAGACAGGTATCTGTGATGCCAGGTGGCAGGTGCACTCACAGGTGCTGGGGATCATGGTAGGGGTCCCCTGCTCATCCTTTCAGGGAGACTTACTGAGATGAGATGGACCCGCGGAGGGCACCTTAGGAGGAGCTGAGGGGACAGCATATAAGAGAGGGGGATGCTAGAAATGACCCCCAGGGGTCCGGCTGGTCTAAGTGTCCTGTGCCCTGGTCTGATGGGGACATATGCAGAGTCTGGCTCTCGCTCTTTGGGACCAGTGGGGCTGAGCTGCTGAAGAGGTTGACCAGCAGGTAATGTGGGGTTCTGCCTGGACATGGAGCAGGGTGGCTGTGGGACTGGGGCTCTCTGGTTGAGCTTTGTGGGTGATCAACAGCGCACGCAATTAGAGTCCCTAGTGCTTGCTTCTGGGTCCCTAGAAATGCGACATCCCAGCCTTTCCATCCATCCATCTCCTTGAGCTCAGGGGAGGAGTGACCGGCAGAGGGCCCCAAGGGCTGGGGCTGGGTGCTCTGACCTAGGGGATTTGAATGTCACACCCAGTGCCTGTATCTTTTGGGGTGTGGAGACATCTGGTCCTGGTCTTGATAGGAACCCCATGGAGGAGGACACTTTGGTCTCAGGTGGGAGGTCCTGCTCTTGGGCAGAGCAGAGACGGTGCTGGCCAAGCAAATTTGGTGGGGTGGTGAGAGGAGGGAGGGCCACCTGGAAGAGGTTTGCGGTGAGGGGGAGAAGTGAGGGGATGTGCTGTCAGGGGACTGCAGGCAGGGAGGTCGCCAGGAGCTGGGAGGGAAAGCAAGGTGCGGCCATGGAACTGGAGGTGGCTTTCTACCTGTGGGCTTCCCAGGCATCCCCCCAGTCCACACGTGTCGCCCCTGGATTCCGACCAAGCTTTATCTTCTGTGAGGTCAGCTTTCCCTGCATCCCTGATCATGCCTCTCTGGGGACCCCACACCTCATCGTCAGAACAGAACTTTGGCCCTTTCTCTGTCATCCCAGGCTCACCACCACGTTCAAGTCCACTGTCACACTGCTGCACTGGTGCATTCCACCTCTGGTCTCCCCAAGCCACCAAGGGTCTCCCCACACTGGCTCTCTACTTCACCAAACACAATGTCCCTCATGGGTCATTCTGCTTGGGTAACAATGTCTGTAAGCTCTCTGGTGGTCCCATCTGCTGACATTCAGAAGTCACTCACCAGTTTTTTCTTTTTAAATTGAGATTTTAGTGAGAGTTTGTAGAGAACTTGCATTTCCATTCATTCATTGTTGCAAATTTTCCTCCCTTTCCTCTCCCCCTCAGTTAGCTTTTATCTTTGGGGGAAAAAATTCTTTTATTGTTATACAGTCTCCCCCACCACCCTGCCCCCAGTCCACTTTAATATGCAGCTCTTACTCTGAACTCTTGTCATGTCAATAATACCTAATCATATATTCCTTTTATACATTTCCCTCCCTCGTCTGTTTCAATGTCGTGTAATTTATTTATTCCCTCTTTTCTTAGTGTCCCCCAAACTCCATGTTAGTCCTGTTTTATAACAGTGGCACTATGCAATATTTGTCCTTTTGTAACTGAGATATTTCACTCAGCATAATGTCCTTCAGGGTCACCCATTTTTTTATTTTTCATGAGTTCCTTGTTTTTCAGCAACCAGTGTTTTCTTTGTAGCCTCTGTTTGTCTGGAATCTCAGCGGGAAACTGCCCACTATGGGTAACCTATTGGCATTCGAAATACCAGTGATGTAACTGTCGGAGTCACAGCAGCACGCAGGTCACTCTGGGATGACAGCAAGCAGCAGGAGGTCATTCGTAACAGGCATTCACTGAACATGCAGGGCGCTTAATTTCCTTTAATGATCAGAGCTCTGAGATGGGTCCTGTGCAGCTCTTCCAAATGAAAGACAGGGATGGGTTCAGGGAGGTTAAGAAACTTGTCCACAGTACACAGCCAGTCAGTCAGTGTGTGGGGGGGGTCAGAATTACATATCAATCAGCCTGGCTCTTGGACCCCTGTTAGATCTGTGTGCCCAGGAGTAGGACCACCTTGCTTCCTGCAGAGGTGGGGTCCCCTGGAAAGGGAGCTGGGTGTCACCGCCTGGTAGTAGCAGGACTGAGGTGTGTCCTTTGTGAGCAGGTGTATGTCCTGGTGTGGCCTTCGCAGCCTTCTTACAGCATTGGAATAGCTGTCTCAGATGAACCGAGAGGTTGGAGGTTCTAATCCACCCAGCGATTCTGTTCAGGTGTCAGCTATCTGCTGTCAGAAAAATGACAACCTAAACCTAAACCTAAACCTGGGGAGTTCTGCTGTGTCACGTGATTTGAAAATTGAGTTGACATCTGACAAGCGGAGTGCTGAGTGTCCCACAGGCTGTCAAAAGGACAGACAGGTCTGTCCTGGAAGAAGTACAACCAGGGTGCCCCTGAGAGGCAAGAATGGGAAACTTCATGTCACATTCTTTGGGCATTTGGTTAGGAGGCGGAAGTTCTTAGAAAATGGACATGCAGCCAGAAAAGGTGGAGGGTCAGAGAAAGAGAGGAAGAGCTCCGCGCGTGATGGCTTGGCGAAGCGCGTGTCCAAGGTGGCGAGGACACTGCAGGACACAGGACAGGCTGATAACACTCGGACACTGCAGGGATGCAGGCCGGGCCAGAGAGTGGCTGGGAGGGAGCCGGGACGCTTTCAGGAGCAAGGCCTGTCTGAGGCTGTGGGCTGGCTTTGCGGGAAGTGCCCAGTGCTGGAATGAGATTTCCCAAACCACGGAGTTCTGACCGGGAGGCTGGAGTGGACTTTTCAGCTGTCCACAACCAGTGGGAGATTCAGGCAGAGGGGTGAGGGGGTGACTGTGGGTTAAGCGGCTCCATGAACAGTCTCCTCCTGTGTGATTAACTGTCTCTGAAAACCCACCGGAGGGTGAGCTATGGGGCAGTTCTGACTTGATGGCGCGTAACAGTAGTGGGATAAGGAGGGAGCTCTGGTGGGAGAGTGGATAGAGAGCGGTGCTGCTAACCCAAGGAAAGGTAGTTCAAATCCCCTAGCTGCCCCCAGGGAGGAAGACAAATCCTCTTGTGTGATGCCCAGACTCTGAGAACCTGCTCAGGGGTCAGCAGTGGGTCCGCTGTGATCACACAGCAATGAGTGTGAGTTCAAGTCTTCACAGGTTAGGGCGTCTGGCCGTGGGGTGTGGGCTGGGTTAGAGGAGGAAAAACAAGTGTCCTGAGAGGCTCTTGGATACTGTGGGGCTCAGTCTTGTGAGGGGCATGACTGGGAGAGGAGGGGTACTGTGGTGCCGTGGATGCTTGTGTCTGGAAGAGCTGGTGGTGCAGCGATTAAAGGGGCCAACCACAACCCGTCGGTCAGCGGTTTGCTCCCATCGGCCGAAGAGAAGACAGCAGCTTCCCTGCTTCCGTAACACTCTGCAGCCGTGGCAGCGCTGGGGGTGTTTCTACTTTGTCTTTCAGGGTTGCTGAGCGTCCCAATCGGCTCACAGTAGTGGGTGTGGGGGACATTGTAGCTCAGGGACCCGGGGAGACGTCAGGATCCCTGGAGAAATGGCTACAGCCAGCATGGAGTCAGGCCAGGCCAGCTGAGTGCTGGTGGGGGCTGCTCACTGTGGGCGGACCTGCGTGGGGTGAGCAGGCCCCCTGGGGGACAGAAAAGAGCTTTACCCAGGGGTGTGTGTGTGTGTGTGTGCGCGCGCACGTGCGCGTGCGCATGCGTGCTGGTGTGTCCAGGGCATAGGCCACCTCACTGCCTCTGAAAGGAGCAGGTGACAGGAGGGGGGAGGAGAGGAGTGGGGCTGCAGAGGACAGCCTGGGCCCCTGGACACCAACCCCAGAGTCCCAGAGTCCTACTTCTGGACCCCACTTGGGCTCCCAGCCGGGGAGGTCAACGAGCAGGGAGCTAGGACCAGTCTGGAGGCGAAGGCTGCACTGTGACCCACACACCCGGCCTTGGGGCCCTTGCATGGTGTTGGGTTCCTGAGTCTCCAGATGGTGCAGGGCCACCACGAGACGGTGGTGGTGGTGAGAACACCAGACCGCATCTGGCCCAGGGACGTGGGCGAGCCTTGGCGTCATAAGGAGCCATCTGTGGCTCAGCGCTTAGGACCCAGTGCTTTTGAGGACCAGGTGATGGGTCGACAGCCAAACAGTAGGCAGTGTGACAGACCCCTGCTCCTGTCCCGTGTCTGGCCCTGGCTTCAGCCTGAGCCCTCCTCAACCTCCATGCGGTGGGAATCATGAGGAGTTGGGGGTGGTACCAGGCAGCATCCCGGCTCCCATCAACGAGGGACCCTGCTCGGTGGACCTGTCTCCGACTAGCACTGTCTTAGACCTGGAGGGGTGGGAAGATGAGGTCCTGGAGAACTCTCCACTAATATATAATCACTCCTGATGGGGGTACCTCCCTCCATGTGAACGCCCCCTCCGAGAAGCCCTCAGGGTTTATTCCTTCCCTTACCCTCCAACCTCTGTGACCAGAAGAGCTAAAGATTCCACTCAGTAGAGGGGGAGCATCTGCTGCTGTCCTCTGATGATCTGGAGTCAGGCATGTTTTAGGACAAGACAAGGACACAGAGCGGAATTACAGCCCTGACAGCCCAGCTTACGGCAGCTGGGGACACTGTCTCGAGGTCCGGAGCGTGGGCTCTTGGGACCAGTCTCCATGCCACCCCAGCCTCTGGGGCCAGGGGCCGCCATGACCAGCTCTCTGTCCCCAGGGTGGCATGGTGGACGAAAAGAGTGAGGATTCCTTGTACGTCTCGACCATGAAATTCGGCGTAAACAGGCCCACGATCTTCTGCATCTTTGACTGTAAGTGATGTTTGGGGGTGGGATGGGCGTGGGACCGTGGTCCTGACAGTGTGAAGTTCTGTGGTCACTTGTGTGTAGACAGAGGCTGAGAAGGACAGAATCTATGTAATGCAGCCTTGGACAGCGCACAAGCATTTCTGTGTGTGCACATGTGTGCGATGTCCTTGTATTTATCCCCTCATGGTGTTATGGTGCTAAGTTTGAAGGGTCAGAATCGATGGCCAGCTGACCGGATGGTGGATTTTCAGAAGCTGTAGCTCTCACTGGGGGAGATTGCCCGTCTTTCTCCCGTAGAGCAGCTGGTGGATTCGAACTACCTGCCTTTGGGTTGGCAGCACACCTCCTTACCACTAGTCCACTAGAGCTCCCTGTCCCTGGGTGTGCAGTGTGGACTGGTGTATGTCTGTGTGCACTTTGTGTTTGTGTACATGTGTGCCTGTGTGCATCTGTGTGTGTAGTGTGTGTGTCTGCACTGGTATCTGTGAGTAATGTAAACCTTTCTGTGTTTCTGTGTGTGGTGTGTTTCTCTGTGTGCCTGGTTGTGTTTGTCGTGTGTGGTGTGTGCCTCATGAGTGTGTGCGCATCGGGTGTGTAACCTGTGCATCTGCATGTGACACTTGGATGTGTTCACTTTCAATGGTGCCCATGTGTGTATCAGTTCTGGACGAGAAACCAACATTCAAGCCCCCCGCCTCCTGGTGGCCCAGGCATCTCCTCTTTATTCTGCTCCCCTGTCCCCTCCTGTCCCTAACCGTGTGACCCATCCAGAAACTAAACCCTAACCCTACTCCTACCCGTAACCTAAACCCTACCCCTGACTCTAACCCTACCCTGAACCTAAACCCCGACCCTAAACCTGCCCTGAACCTAAACCCTCACTCTCGCCCTGCCACCAGCCTGAACCTAAACCCTCACCCTAAACCTGCCCTAAATCTAAACCTCACCCTCACCCTGCCATAGCCCTGACCCTGTGTTGATCACCACAGTGTGTCCTCCCGGTCCTGGAGAGGGCCATCCTGCCCTGACCTGACCGGGGACAGGCTCCATTCCCCCTGGTAGCCACATGGCCCTCACACTGTGTTTCTGTCTGTCCCTTTGTGAAGATGGGAACCGCTACCATCTCCGCTGCTACATGTACCAGGCCCGGGACCTGGCCGCGATGGACAAGGACTCCTTTTCTGGTAGGTGGGGGGCAGGGGGCAAAGGTGAGGAGTGAGGAGGCTGAGAGCTTGGGCCTCCGGAGTCCGGCCTTCAGCCAGAAGGGACCATAGCCGAGGCATCTCCTTCGTGGGTGGAACCTGCCCTGCCTACCTGTGTGACAGGTTAGGGTCCCTGGGGTCTCCTGACACTCAGGTGCAGTAGCCATGGTCTGCTTGGCTGTCCTTATTCTTCAGGTCCCTTTTATCTTGGCCCCAGGCATCATGTTCTGCTGAGTCCTCTCCACTCCCTTGGTTCCTACTCAGCCATCTCACTGCTCCCCAGTCCTGTGCTCCTGGGTCCCCTGTCTGTGTCCTGATCTCTGGGTGCTGGAGTCCCTCCCCCCCGCCCCCAAGATCCAGTGACCACTCATCTGTGGGAACCTTCCAGACCTTCAGTCCCTCCTCATCCCGTCAGCCACAGCTAGGTATTTTCTGTCCTTCAGATTCTTGAATATGGTGCTGGAACCAAAGCATGTTGGTTCATCTTATCCAGCAAGCCCCCTAAGATGCCATCGCGCGGACTCATCTCCTCTGCTTTCCCTACCTTGGTCCAGGTCTCAGCCTGTTCCTTCCCAGCCTGAAGCCGTCACTCATCCAGGGGCTCCTGGCTCCCAAACTCTCTCAGACACATGTCCTCCTCGTTAGAGCCTTGGCTGCCACCTCACGCTGGCCTTGCCTCATCTGGGCTTTCTGTTCCTGGCTCCCTGCCCCCTTCCACACTGTCCCTGGTGCATCTGGTCCTGTGACCCTCCCCTTATTCAGACGCAGACCGATCAACCCCTGACTCTTCTAGAATGACTGTCCAGATCCTCAGTCTGAGGCTCTCCTCTCCATCTTCCTACGCACCCTTTTCCAGCTGCGTCTCGGCCCCGCCAACAGTTGTCCACACTTGTTGAGTTCTTCCACATGCCTGGCTTTTGCATCCAGTGCTCCTTTTGCCTGGACGATATTCCCTCTTGAGTTTGAATCAAGCCAACTCTTACTCATCCTTCAAAACCCAGCCCAGATGCCCCCTAATCCTTCGTTGAGCTGAGCTGGCTGCTTCTTCCTTGGCCCCTGTGCTGTCCCTTTTTTGCTTGGTCTACCCCTCTCCTGACCTCCTCGCTCGCTGCATATGTTCAATTTCAGTCTTTCTCTGGCCCACACCCCTCCCTCTCTGACTGTGACTTCCTCCAACAAGTGGCCTTGTATTAACCTTTAAATCTGCAGCACTTGATCTTCAAAAACTAGCATTTCATGTACCAGGTGCTTTCCTGACAAGATTTCATTCATTGTTGACAACTACAGCGTGAAGTAGACATCACACATCTCCATCCTGCAGATGAAGACACTGAGGCTTGGGCTGACAGAACTGCTTGAGTTAAAATAGCTGAATGCGAATCCACCAGCTGCTCCCAGGAAGAACGGCGGACAGACTCCTCCTGTGGGATTTACAGCTTCTGCAGACCTGTTGGGGGTCACCTGGGGGTCAAGGGCCTGTGTTCTTACATTGTGCTGCCAGTGGGTTGCAGGGAGGGATTCAGGGCGGATGGTGCCGTCTCTGAGCTGTGGGACAGGGTCCCAAGATCTCCACCATAAAGTGCACACAAGTCAGTGCAGAGATGGGCCGACCAGGGCCGTTTTCTGCATCTGTGGTTTGCTGGGTGAGGTTGCCAAGATAGTTTCTGACCACTTGACCTTACCCTGAGGCGGGGGTGGAAATAAATTCACAGTCTTGCTGCTTCCTGGGAGGGTGCAAAGGGTGAGGCTGGAGGCACGGGCTGGCGTGGGGCAGGTGACGAGGCCTGGGCCCGGGTCAGAAGCCCCCTGGCCTCTGTGTGCTGGACTGGCCCCGGGTAGATGTGAGGACTGCCACACTCACCTCTGGCGACTGCTGTGGCAGGGTCAGCCAGGCAGCGCCTGGGGAGACGTCACATTTTCCATCCCGGCCCCACCCCCTCCCCCAAATAAACATCCCTTGAGCTTTGAGGGCACTGCCCAGGGCTTCCTCCGAGGCCACTGGTTTCTGAATGAAAGGCCCGATTGAGCAGCTGCTGGAAAGGAAAACAGCAGCCAACACGAGTGAACCTATAAAACCCAGAGTGTTTATTTTCACTCCCAAACCTTAAACCAAAGCGATTCCTCCCCTGGAACTGACCTTGGGGCGGCTGGCGGCCGAAGGCTGTGCGCGCGGCCACCGGCTGGCATCTCTCTGAGGAAACTCAAGTGTGAATCCGGAATGTCTGGGGCCAGGGGAGGGTCTAGCCCAGTGTCTGTCGCTGGTAGCACCTTCCAGCCTGTCCGCCAGGGTGTCTGGGACAGAGGGCCCTCCTCGGGAACACTCTTGTGACTCCAGCCTGTCCATGTCCTGTAGTACTTCCTTGGTCTTGAGTGGCCCTGGGGGTGCTCTCCAATGGTCTCCTATGTGGGATGTCCCAGAGCTGCCCCGGGTGGCGGTGGGTGGCTTGCCTACTCTCTTGTTTCTCCCAGAGCAGCCCTGACTTGAGGTTTGGGGGAAGACATTTATCATTGTCCAGGAAATACCTGGGAAATCATCTGAACTCCCCAAATAGGGATACTTGGTAGAGATATTCACATCTCCCAAGAACTGCAGCCCAAGGCCCACATCTTGGGGAGAGTTGTGATGTATGGTCAGTTATACTTCTCTGGAGCAGTGGAAGGGTGTGTGCAGACCTGTGCCTGTGTGCTTCTCATTGTGAGGCCCTTGTAAATACAAACTCGTACTCATGACTCTCAGATCAGGACTGATTTACAGCTGACCCTCCAGTGGGTTTTCAGACGGTGCATTGCACAAGAGGAGTTGGCCCATCTTTCTCCCTCGGTGCAACTGCTGGCTTTGGACTGTCTTCCTTCAGGTTAACGGTGCAACCCTTTGCCCTGTAAGCCTCCTTGTATAAATTTAAGATGATGGTTTATTCAAACGACTTCTGTTTGATGTTGAGCTAGGATTTCTTGGTGAGCATATGCTTCTTCTGGACTGAATAGATATAACTCTAGAGGAGTTAGAAATCATGTCACCAAAAACCACACGAGGCTCCTTCCTGTTCATGCTTCACATGCATGTAACAGCAGTCTGAGCTGTTAGCTTTGACTATCTGCTCATATTTCTCAAAGAGAACTCGAGAGGGGCCTGTCTGCCTTGTCACATTGTTCTGCTTTGCCCCTTCTGCTCAGCCAAGAATCGTTGATGTCTGAAGGACTCATTAAATAAAGGTGATTACAGAGACTCCTCTCTGAGGGTCTCACAGGCCAGTGGGCTCAATGGTCCTGAGCAGGCTAATGAACAATGGCTAGTAGGCCACATACCAAGCTTTTTGTTTGGGCCGGAGGAGGGAGGCCATGAAAAGGAGCAGCAGGTCTTGTGCCCTCTAGGCTGCCTCATAGCTCTTGGGAGGGCCGAGCTGCGCACCAGCTGGGTGGTCCTGAGGAGTCCCGCCAGGCCAGGCCACAGTGAGGTACAGGGAGCCCTGGTTACCTCATGACCAGGCCACCTCTGTGGTGGTGAGTGCTTCTGCTTGCCCTCACACTCTGTCCTGGGTGGCGCTGGAAAATTCTTGCGTCTGGGCTGTGTCCATGGCGTTCCCGATGCCTGTAACACAGCCTTTTGTTAAGGTTGGCTCTGGCTGGGTCATCTACCTGACAAGCTTAAGGAGGTGTTTTCCAAAGCGCAGTGGAGGCTTGTGAAACGCTTCACTTGCAGAGGGTTCCTGAGTGAGAGAGACGGGGGGATCGCTGTGCACAGAGAGATTTATGGTGCCCTGGCGGCATAGGAGAGGCTCGGCTCAGGCCGTAAAGGAGCCTGTCCAACCTGTTTAAACGCTCATTAGCTCCCCGGAGCGCTCGTGTCTCTATGAACACATTCTGGGAACACTATTCTCCAGAATTCAGTCCAGGTTGTTCAGCAGGGGTACAGGACTGTGTGCGATCGCCTCCCCCTCCCCAGCCCCCAGCTCCTCTGTCCCTGTCCTTGGTGCTCCCTGCCTCTCTCTGCACCAGCTGCCTGCTGTTCCCCAAGTGTGCATGCAGAGAGCCTGGAATACCCCCATTTTTCTTGGTCTTTCTTGGCTGACTCCTTGTTCCATTCTCAAGGGTCAGGCTGAGTGACTTCCTTTGGGTAGTTGGGTCCCCTGACCCCCAGAACCGTGTATGTAGCAGTGTTAAGTTTCAGACCACCTTAAATCAGAACTGTGGTTTAGTTATCATTTCCTCCCAATGGTCGTGGTCTTAAGACCTTGGAGTGTGTCTCAGTCATCGTAGTATTTGCTAGCTCAGTTCTTACCTGCTGCACACCGTTGTGTGTGTTAACAAGTTGGAACTGACTCATGGCGGACTCGCCAGTGGGTTTTCAGAGGCTGTAAATGGCAAAGGAGGGCATTGCTCGTCTTTCTTCTGGAAGCAGAATTGATTGGTGGACTTGAATTACCAGGCTTTGAGTTGACAGCACAACTTCCCCCTAGGCCTCTAGAACTCCCTTGTTACATACTTTTGCTTCTTGTTCTATAACATCGAGTTGGAACTGACTCAGAGCTGACCCTCCAGCGGGGTTTCAGAGGCTGTAAATCGCATGGGACTAGATGGTCCGTCTCTGCCCCACGAAACAACTGGTGTATTCGAACCACGTGCTTTTGGGTTGGCAGCACGACTCCCTACCCCTAAGCCTCTACTGAATCAGTAACTGTGTATTGACTGAATGATGCCGTACAACTAATGCTGTAGTGAATATCTTTGCACAGAGAGCTTTTGGGTTCCGCTGGGTGATTCCCAAGAATAGGGAGAGGATGGTATGAACACTTTGATGTTTTTCAGGGCATCCTGCCCAGTTGCTTTCCTGAAGGGTTACAGAATTACTTCCAGCAATAAAGAGCAGTATATAGTTCATCAAATACTTGCCAACGCTAGGTTTTAGAATTTTAAACATTTCCCCTTAATTTTATAGGAGAATTATTGCCACATACAATTGCAGTCACAGTGCCTCAGTTTCTAGAGGTCTGCCCCTCTCTGTGCAGGGCCGCGTCCCTGGGAGTGCAGCGTGGCTGAGGGAGTACTAGACCAGGAGTCAGGCTTGGGTTCTGGTGACACGTGAGCTTTGTCTGGTCACATGGTCTCTGATACCTGGGAATGAGCTCTCTCACTGTGCCCTTACCCACGTGGTCTGAGCTGGTGGGTAGGAAGGCCCATCAGAGGGACAGAAGGTTGCCCCTGGTGCCCTAGGAAGGGTGTGGTCTGGGAACGGCCCTTGGAGTGTATCTCAGTCATCGTATTACAGCCCAGTCCTTACGTGCTTCACACTCTTGTTGTGTGAACCGAGTTGGAACCAACTCTCAGCTGACCCTGCAGTGGGCTTTCAGGGCAGTCAATCACAAGACGTGACTGCCCCTCCTTCTCCCCTGGAGCAGCTGGTGGATGGGAACCGTGTGCCTTTTTGGCAGCGCGACTCCTTACCCACCAGGCAACTGGTGCTCTCATGACTTGAACGTCCTCAAGGTGCTCTTCAACCTCACAGGGCTCCACAAAGCAGACTCTCCCTCAGCTGATGGTGGATCTAGACGGGATGGGTGCTCCCTGAGGTGGTGTGGGCGTGGAGGGAAGGCGTTGCTCCCTCTTGGGGTGGGATGTCAGCTGGATTCCCCTCATCTTGCCTCCATCCCCCACCTCCCCTCCATCCCCCAGTTTGCTTGCCTGGAAGAAGGATGTGTCTGTGAGTTTATCTGAATTCCCTTCAGCTGACCACCTTGCTCCGGCAGCACTGACTCCCAGTGCCCCCAGTTTTTGAGGGGCTGTGGGGGAGCGGTCGGCACACAGTAGCCCAGTGTCTGGGCCCGGCCTCCGGTCCTCCTGTGCTTTACAATGCCTTTGTTGTGTGTTTTCTCCTCCCCTGGGCGGGTGGCAGGACTGGGTGATTTCTGTTTGGAGCCCCCCTCCCCAGTGCTGAGCTCATTGCCTGAGCTGATGGGGGTGCTGGAAGGAGCCGGGCTGCTGGGGCCAGCATGGGGGGTGCTGCCAACAGCAATACAGTGCGCACGGCCGCTACAATGTGCAATTGTGATCTCTGTAAACGCGCTCGGTCTGGGGCCCGCACGCTTATAAAAATAAAGCGTTGGGAGGCACTGGGGGCGGGAACACAAAGGTCTTTTTTGCCGGCGTGCTAATATGGTTTTATTTATCGGAACGCGCCCTCTTTCCCTTACTGGAACCAGGGAGAGGTTCTCTGCCGAGCTTGGAGCTGATGGTATCACAGCCAGACGGTTTCATTAAATGCACAGACGCCGCTGGGCCCTGCCAGGGACAGGAGGGAAAGGGCTGGTGGCCAGGCCTGCCAGGCTGGTGCGTGGACAGGGAGCCCTGTGCCAGGAGGCTCCACCAGGAGAGTGCTAGACACTTCTTCTCCACCCATCTTCTACCCCAAAAAAATGTCTGTGAGGTCTGAACCCCAAATCCCCAAAGCATGCCCTGTGTTCTTGGCCCATGTCAAAGCCAACTTCTTGCAGGAAGCCCACCGTGATTGACTCCATGCTGCTCTTGTGCCTCCTGTGACCACAGCCAGGATTGCTGAGCTAGTGGATTCTGATGGCCCGTCCCCCAGCCTAGCTCCCCCTCCTCCTTAGAAGCAGCTCTTGAGTGACAGTCAATCTTGACCCCGCTCCCTTCATCCCAGGACGAGTCCTCCCCAATGTACAGCCAACCTTCCTGCCTCTCCTATGACCAGGCTTCGCCAGCTGTCTGTGTCCCCTCCTACACAGATGCCGTGACGCTTGGTCTCCTTGGGGTCAGCCTGTCCTGTACTCCTCCCCTGTGTAACAGAGCTACCTCACTGTCCATCCCATACCCGGGGTTGTACCCGGATACCCCTTCATACTTCTGAGGCGTCTCCCTCCAAGGCCACTGGGACCCCCTTGAGGTCACCCGAGGGGCTGGTGGCAGTGCTCAGGCTGGTCTGTGGGACTCTGTCATCTTAAGGACGTCTGGACACAACCCTAGGAGACATCTAGCATGCAGCTACCAGCCTCTAAGTACAGACTTTTTTGTCCCCTGTGCACCTCAGGGTCTGGCACTTGTCGTCTTTCAAAGTCGCAATAAGATAAATGTTCCCAAATTGATGTCCTGGTGGGAGAAGTTGGAGGAGCCCCTATTCCAAGCCCTCTGTTCCTCTTCCAATCAATCACCTGCACTCAGTGTCAGAGGACCTTCCTACATCTTGCTTTCTGACTGTGGTCCCTGGGCTGGGACAAGCACATGCCTCGGCGGGGTGTGTGTGTGTGTGTGTGTTGTTACCAAGTGCCATCAAATCTACTACAACCTGTAGCGACGGTGTGTGTGCACAACAGATCTGAACCCCGCCCTGTGTGGTCTCATCCTCACCGTCTCTGACATGCCCCAGCCCACCAGCACAGTCACTGCGTCAGTCCACCTGGTGGAGGGGCTTCCTCTCTCTGACCTTTTCCAAAGACTGCCCCCCTGACAACGTGCCCGCAGCATGAGAGATGACGTTTCACCATCCTCGCCTCTGAGGAGCACTCTGGTTGACCTTCCTCCGAGACAGACTTGTTGGTTCCTTTGGGCCGTCCAAGGAATATTCAGTACTCTTCTCCACACCACATCTCAAAGGCATTGATTCTTCTGTCATCCGTATTCACAGTCCAGCTTTCAGATGCACAGGAAGAGATGGAAATGGCCATGGATTGGATCCTCTGAGGGCAGGCAGAGGGACTGACCGCTGGGGGGGGGGTGTCCCAGGCCCTAGTGGCTGGGGCTGGTAGGTCGGGAAGGACACTGGGACACCGAGCTGCCTCCAGGCTCCCTTTTCATAAGCTGTGCTCAACATCTCTCCAGTCTGCCTTTCTCTGTTGTCATATGCCCGTATAAGCCAACCCCAGCTTTTGATGAGTGCAGTAACTTCATAACGGGTCTCCTTGTACCCACTTCTGCTTTGGGTCTTTGCCACGTGGCCGCTGGAGAGTATGGAAATGCAGATGAGGACATGTCTGTCAGATCACACTCCAGAGCTCTGCTCTAATCTTGTTCCTCAAGGATGCCAGCCCTTTCTAGCGGAGCTTAGCCGAAGTGCGAGTCACAGCTGTCTTTTTATTTTTACTTGTGTGGTTTTCTCAGCCCGTAGCCTGGGGTGCTTAAGATCCTTCATCAATGCATGTGGATACATGAGTCTGTAAATAAGAAGATCCTGCAGGGACCTGTTTCTTCTGGTGGACCTTGCCCAGACAGTCAGCTTAGGGAGGAGATATGGGCTCCTGTGCCTGCCTGCTGGGATCCAGTTCTGTTTGTCTGAGGTGGCCCCCTAGTAGCTTCGTGGGTTGACTAGGAGAGCTTCCATGAGAAAGGGTCCCCAGTTGCATTTCAAGGCTGCTGAGTGGCACCTGCAACCTGCTTGAGTTCTGTGGTCCACGGGGCCCCTGAGCAGACACCTGACCTGACCTGCGCTGTGTTCTGTCTCCTTCTCTCTTATCCTGGCCCCACAGATCCCTACGCCATCGTCTCCTTCCTGCACCAGAGCCAGAAGACCGTGGTGGTGAAGAACACCCTGAACCCCACCTGGGACCAGACTCTCATCTTCTACGAGCTGGAGATCTTCGGCACGCTGGCCAGCATTGCCGAGCAGCTTCCCAGCATCGTGGTGGAGGTGTACGACCACGACACCTATGTGAGTTGGCCTCCAGCTGCCCCGGCCCCTCCCTGTTCTCCCCTCAGCAGCCCAGGGAGAGGCTGCGGATAGGCACTAGTGCTGCCAGCCGGGCGGGGAGGGATGGCCTCTCATCTGACCCCCAGAGGCCTTAGAGTAAGCCTTCAAATGAAAATTCAAACGTTTTGCCACCTAGCCGGAACCAACTCAGAGCTGATGCTCCATCGGCCTTCCCGAGGCTGTAAACGCAGTGGGAGGGGCTGCCTCTCTTTCTCCCACACATGCAGAGCAAGCAGAGCAAGCCGGGTGTGAGGGGACATCTGGAGAGGCTCTCGGGCTGGGTCTCAGGAGGCCTGGTGGTTTCTCTTCCTCTTACTTGGTGATGTGACCCTGAGCCAGGCCCCGGTCACTGCAGAAATTGTGTTGAATCTAGAACCATCCACCCCTGCTTGCCTTACTGGGCCGGGCGAGGCGTTGGCTGGGGTTCCTAGGCTAGGTGGGTGTCTAGACAAACCCGTCCAGCAGAGAATCGACCACATGAGACGGGGTTGCTGAGGGCCAGGCACTCTTGTCTGACTTCCCGAGGTGATGGCAACTTCTGTCCCGTGTTGTCCAGTGTGGGAGCTTTCAACTACTGGCTCTCATGCACTTGGGACAGCTAGTGAATGTGTGGAGGGGAATTTTGGATTTCATGTGACTTGAACTCATTCGGATGTAAACAGAGGTACAGGTGGCAGATTTGGAAGCATCCTTTGGACACATGACCAGGAGGGACCAGTCCTGGGATAAGGGCGTCATGCTTGGAAGGGTGGAGGAACAGTGCAGGAGAAGAAGAACCTGGATGAGATGGATTAACATGATAACTAGAACAATGGGATTAGATGTGTCAGAGTCATTGAGACTGGGTCATGATAGGGCAGGGTTCAGAGCTGTTGTACATAGGGTTTCTATGAGTCTCAGGCAACTTGATGGCACACAACAACAACAACAACAACAGGGGACAGGTAGATGCTGAATTAAACAGCTTAGTTCTAGAAAATTCCTACAAGGAGATGACCACAGGCTGGAGTGTTCGGGAGGACCTGGGCCTTGCAGGAACTGTGGGCTGGGCTGGAGGGCCAGGCAGAGGTGCATTCCATTGGAGCATGGGGTGGGCGATAGGAGGCGCTGAGGAGAAGAAAAAGCAGGCTGGGATGAAGCTGGGGGTGCCGAGAGGTGTCAGTGGAAGAGAGGGAGCAGAGGTGGGCACGTGGCAAGGAGAGGTTGGCCTGCGTGGAGGGCGGCAGCAGGAAACCTGGCTTTGGCGGAGTTGACGTGACTGGACATCACCTGTCCCGGGGAGCAGGCTTGCAGGTGGGAGAAGCAATACTGTTGGCAAAGATCCGTTGTCCTGAGCCCTGTGAATGCCTCTTTGCTGTCCCAGCTGCCCAGCTGCCCTAGGTGGGCACTATGGGACAGGGATGCACGAGAGGCCTCCCCAGGAGTCGTCAGCCAGGGAATTACTCCCTTGGAAAGAAAACTTGGTGCTGGGGAAGCAGGGGGTGAGCACCTTGAATATTTAGGCTTGTTTGGAGAAGAGTGGGGGGCCAAGCCTGGCTCCTTTGGGACAAGAGGAGACAAGCAGGGTGGCGGGAGAGGGCAGAGAGACTAGGCAGAATCTGGGGGGAGGGGCAGGGTGAGCCGGGGTGCAGGTAGGACTAGGTGCAGGGTGGGCCTGGCCCGAGTGCCTGAGGGGTCCCAGAGAAGGCTGTGGTGTCTTCTGGGTGGCTGGCTGGGCTGCAGGGTCCTGAGGGACAGCTGGGGTTTGTACTCGCTGTGAATATTTAGACCCTAAGTGGTTCCTGTTGGCCAGAGACAACGGTTTGAATTCTTAGAGTGTTGCCCCGATGCTCTGGTTTCCCAGGCCTCTGCCTGGACCCTCGGGCCTCTCCCCACCCAGCAGCCAAGGGGCAGTACCTGGCCCCATGAGGCCTCAGGTCTCCTCCAGATGGCGTGGCTGGCCTGCACCTGAGTGGCCACTCCCATGCTGGACTGTCACCTGCTGGTGCAGTGTTGATGAACAGCTGAATGGCCATTCCATTATGGCACCTGTGATCTCTCAACTTGTGGGGTGACTGTATCCATGAGGGCTGTGGGACCATGTGGAAAACTGCCTGCAGGTCCGCTCACAGTCCACAGACCAAGCAGATCTCAGAGCCTCTGGTTGGGGGTGGGGGGAAGTACACTTGGGCAAGGCTGTGAACAATGTTTGGGGACGGTGGAGGGGAGTCTTGGGGTATGAGGGTTGGGTTTGGGGTGGTGGTGGGGGCAGTCTGTGGGAGTGCTGGCCCGGGCAGAGACGAAAGGCCAGCAGAGGCCCAAGTACAGGAGACATAGAGAGGGAACAGGCAGAGCAGGCCTCAGTGAGAGGCCGGCAGATCTGGGCGAGGCCTTTGGGCTCTGTCTCCTGGGCAGCGGGAGCTACAGGTGGTGCTTGAGCCAAAGGACGAGACGGAACCCCATTGTAGCAGGAGTCTCTTAGTGTGATGAGTGTGGACTCAGCTTCCCCACCTAGGAAAGGAGGGGGTAGGGGCGCCCCAGTAACCATCAAAGCGGAAGACTGAGGCTCTGCTCTTGAGGGGGAACTCGGCCCTGCTGATCGGATGCACAGGGGGGTCCTGAGCGGTGGGAAGTCAGGCGCACCAGTGGCAGCAGGCAGCCTGGTGTGGCACCATCCGCGTCTGCCTGCACGAAGCTGCCTACGCTTCCAGGCCCTTTTCCAGGCCAGGCAGCTGGGCCGAGGCCCGAGGAGGTCTCTTAACAACCTGTGTCCTGATTGTTCTCTCTCCATGCTGACTTAGGGTGCAGATGAGTTTCTGGGGCGCTGCATTTGTCAGCCAAGTCTAGAGTGCATGCCACGGCTGGCCTGGTTCCCATTGACCCGGGGCAGCCAGCCGGCGGGCGAGCTGCTGGCCTCCTTCGAGCTCATCCAGCGAGAGAAGGTGAGGCTGGGCTTCTGTGGCTCCTGCAGGGGCCCGAGGAGACCCCCACTGCGGGGAGGGTGCTTTCTGTCCCCCCTGCTCCCCTTGGGGGATTGCTGCAAGATGCTTTTCTGGGAGTCTGGCTCCCCACTCGGACTGGTTCTGCTATCGTTTTTGATCCCTAAATCAGGGCACCACAATGAGGTTCCTAAATTGGAAACCCTAACATTGGGTTGTTATGTACCGTTTAGTTGGAACCACCTCGTAGCAGACCCTCCAGTGGGTTTCCGGAAGTTGTAAATTGCATGGAAGGAGATTGCCTAACTGTCTCCTTCAGAGTAGCCGTTGGATTCAAACCTCCTGCCTTTGGGTTGGTAGCGCCACTTCTACACCACCAGAGCTCCCTGACATTGGTAGACTGGTGGACGTGTGGACCACGTTAGACCGTCCAAGCCCTCTGGCCGTTGCACGCATTGCTCGCTGGCCTGTGCTCTGACCTGTCTGTGGGGAGGCCCTGGACCAGCTGTGAGCTTTTTACAGAACAAGAGCGTTGAGCTGACTCACTGTGTGGTGTGAGCTCCCCTGTGTAATTCATGTGTAAACATGCAGCTCTGGGTGGAGTACCTGCAAGTCCCCTAGCCTCCTGCAAACCTGGCTGCCCTCTGCATGCTTCAGCCCGCAACTCCCGGGCCCCCAGGTGCCTCAGAGGGAGTCCCAGGCCTCCGAGGAATGGAGTGGACAGACAACTTGGACATAGTCCACTAGTGTCATTGGCGGTGGGACATTGGCAGGGTGGGAAGGTGGGTGAGGAGGGATTGGGCAACAAATCCATGACCGACATGATTGAAGCTCTTCTTCACCTGCAGCCGGCCATCCACCATATTCCTGGGAGCGAGGTAAGTGTTCTTCCTACCTTCTTGTCTCACAGCGTCTCCGTAAGGTGGGAGGTACAGTGGGGCATTCACTTCCTGGAGGCCAGCGGGACACCTTGAAGCAGAGGAGGACCCTGTGGGTATCACGGGCCAGGTTCCTCAGTCCCTTCCAAGCCTCCCTCCCTGCCCAGCTCAGGCCTCCTCAGAGACTTTCAGGAAGCATAGGTTTCTGGCCACCAGGACCTGGGGGCTTCCAGCCCAGGAGAATTCCCTGGGCAGCTTAGCGATGACCAGCGCCCAGGCTGCACCCCAAGCCTGATGGAGCACCCTTCGCCAGGAGTGGGGCCACAGCACTGAGGCCTCTCAGAGCTGCCAGGTGAACCTGGTGTGCAGTAAGGGCTGGGAACAGCAGATGTAGTCTAGAGTCCTCGATGTGTGTCCCCAGCCGCACTGTCAGCATCACCTGGGATAATGATAGAAACATGGATCCTTCGGTCTCGCTTCAACCCACAGGGGCAAAATTGGAGGGTTCCCACAGGCAGCAACCCCTCTAGGTTCATGCATGTTCAAGTCTCAGACGTTCTGGTTTAGACCCAATTTCCCAACTCATTGTCCCAGTGGGACCCTGTCTTTCTCCTCTGCTGTTACTGGTACCTTATTCTTTTCTTGGCGGTCCCCCTCCTTCTCCTGGAAGGTTCTGCTGGAACATGCAGGCTTCTCACTGGGCCTTAACTATTTAATTCAGGAAACGTTATTCTAGACCAGGCTCCACTCCTGCAGCTTTGAGATCTCATCCTGGAGCTGTCCTGAGGGTGCCCTTCCCCTTACGCGGCAGCTCTTACTATCTAAGGCCTTCCCGCCACAGTGCTCCTTCCCTGACCTTTCCCGGTGCCCTTTCTCAGTTCTGCTAGCCCCCAAGTCTAGCTTGTCCTTCCTTGGCTCCCTGAGTCCTGAGACCCCAACAGGAACTGCAGCTCCAGGGCCTCGGAGACCAGACACAGAGCCCCGGTCTGATGAGGAGTTAGGGCAAGGGCAGCCACCCCTGCTGCCAGGGAATCTCCCGGGTGGGAGGGAATCAGACCTGCCATCTCCTGGACCCTCTGCCACCTGCCTGTCACTTTACTTCTTCTGCCACTCCCAGAGATGCAGACTCAGGGGTACAACTTAGCGTTCCTACCAGCCCCTCGTCCTTGTGCCTGTCACCCCTCCTCCTCACAGCCACATGGATAGGCACGCGAGGAAACACCTCCCCACACCCTGCATGGTGCCTGGTGGGCTGACCTCTGACCCAGCCCAGGGCACTCCTGCCAAAGGGCGTGCTCCTTGTCCCTAATGATGTACTTTCACCCTTCTTTCTTCTCCCCCCTCCACCATCTCCTGGATGTGAAATGTGCCCTGGACCAGGTACGGGATCCCTCTAAGATGCTGGAAGAGGTAAGCTGGGCCCCCACAGGTGTGGCTCATGGCTGGGTAGGGAGGGAAAGAGGGGAGATGCAGGCCAGCCTTCTGGGGTCTGGTGTCCAGTGGGCATCCGTCATGCAGAGATGCCTCAGAGATCTGTTCCAGCACAACATGGGTGCAGAGCTGCCTGGACTGGATTCTGGAGAATTTTGACCTTGGTTGGCTCATTCTGTAGAGAGGTCAGACTTACCGAGACTGGATACACACCAGTGCTGTCTCAACTAGTTGTTAGGTTTCAGGAAACATCCAGAAGGGACCAGAAGAGTCAAGGAAGGCTTTCTGGTGGAGGCAGCATCAGCCAGACTTGAACGAGTGTGGGGGTGAACCTCTGGCCCAGGTGGCCGGGATCCAAGCAGAACCGGGCTGATACAGGGCTGGGGCGATGGGGATTTCCAGGGACTGAGAAGAAGTTTAGGGTGTACATCAGGCAGAGCAGGGCCATGCCCTTTGCCACCGTCTGTGGGCTGATTGTAATGAGTGAGGCTGGGCACAGGCCTGAGCGGGAGAGGCCAGGCAGAGCCCTGGTCAGATGGGGGATTGGCAAGGGCAGCCACTTCCTGCCGCCAGGGAACCCCAGGCTGGGAGTGGATGCCGTTTGACATTTTCGTTGCAATTTGGACTTGGGAGCATAGGGTCAGGATGTGGGCTCCCAGACCCGGCACCCCTTCCTTCACTTCCTCCTCACTCCAGACCAAGGCGGGGTCCGCCAAGCACGCTGGCTGTAACCCGGACAGGCAGCCTCCTGCTTCTGGCTGTAGTTGTGAAAGACTGCCGATTTGGCCGGGGCAGCAGAGCCCCATCCAGGGAGGCAGCACGGGGGCCCCAGGTCTGGATTGGGCATGCGCTGGGCCAAACCCCACAGCCTGCACCGAGGCAAGCCCAGCCCAGGGCCTGCTGTTAAAGAAAAATCACAGTGCTTAACAACTGGGTTGGTAACACAGAAAGAGGCCGGCGCAGATTCCCAGAGAGGGATCTTGCTGTGGTCTCAGTGTAAGCAAGCAAACTGAAGTGAGGCTTTGAGACTAGACTCTGAAGAGGCCAAGGGTCCCGCTGCAGGTCAGCCAGGCCATGGGCTGGGGCAGCGCCTGTGGAGAGCACGTCCTGGGTGCCTGCTGGCCATGGGGCCAGCTGGGCCAGCTGACTGGTTCAGAGTCTGAGGCCCAGGAGAATGAAAAGAGGCATGGACAGAGCACCAGCTGGACCAGAGAAATCCCCAGAGGTGACTCTGTGGTCCCCTCATTTCCAGAAGCCCCCTCCCCCCATCCACCTCAGCCTGTAGTCTCTAGCTTAGTCACCACTCTTCTCCTTGAAGACAGCCTTATGTTAAGATTTTGAGTCCATTTGGCTTCAGGAAAATGGAAGGAGCTTTGCTTCCATTAGGACGGAACACCCAGAGTTGGTAAATGCGTGAGTTGTAGCTGACTCTCCAGTGGGGTTTCAGAGGCTGTAAATCACGTGGGAGGAGATTGCCTATCGTTCTCTTACAGAGTAGCTGGTAGATTTGAACCACCTGCCTCTGGGTTGGCATTGCAACTTCTTACCTCTCAGCCACCAAAGCTCCAGAATCCACAGGAACCGAAAGTCAGCTGATGGTTGTCAGGGGCTGGGGAGACGGGGCTCTGGAGAGTGACAGACGGCTAATGGGTAAGGGCTTTCCTTTAGGGATAATGAAATAGGAATGAGACAGTGGCGAGGGCCGGATGGCATTGGGGATGTGCTAAATTCTGCAGAATCGTTCCCTTTAAAATGGCTAATTTTGTGTTTTGTGATTTGTGCCTCACTTAAGAGTAGGCTTCCCTGAAAGGGTGCTTGGTGGAGGCGGGCAGTCGTCCTGCATGCCGGCCTCTGTAGCTGTGTTTTCTGTGGTCACCTGTGTCCACGTCGCCACTTACCAGCCCGCAGGCTCTCAGCCTCCATCCCTGAGGACACTGTTTTGGCCTCTAAGCCTGGAGGGGAGGTAGTCTTAGGTTCTCCGTGCGAGGCTGGGCAAAGGGGCCTGGGGAGGCCTTAGGAAGCTGTCAGCCAGGATGGGCAGGGGAGCAAGGGGCAGAGGGAGATGTTGATGGGGAGGAGTGTTGAAACGGTTACAGTGATGGGGGTCTGGGCTGGAGAGGGCCCAGTGAGGTGGGCATGCATGGAGACAGGTGTGCTGAGGGATGGGTTCAGAACCTCCTGGCCAGGGGCAGGACCTTCCGGCTGGAGCCACGTGCGGAGATTCCCACAAATTAGATCAAATATCATGGGGACAGCCGTGCATGGGACTGAGAAGAAATGCCATCTGAGGCGCTGAAGGTCCCCAAGCAGATGGAGCACGTTAGGGAGCAGGGGCGAGAGGTGCTTCCTGCAAGAGAGGTACCTCTAAATTAGCTTTCAAAGCTAGGATTAGGATCATTTGGCAAAGGGGCCCAGGCGGCCTGCAGGGTGGCACCAGGGTACCATCCCTCGGTGGGAGGGGCGTCTGTGCTGTGCTGTGGGGCCCTGGGCCCTCGTGGAGAGTGTGGTGGGGCACTGGGCCCCCTCCTAGCCCCCAGCCTCACACTGCCCCTGCTCCCTCATTTCCAGCCACCTTCCCCTCTTCCCTCTCTCCCTTCACCCTCTGCCTGACTCTTCCTCCTCTGTTTGCTCCCCGGCCTGGCTCCCACTCTCCCTCCTTCCCCCGCCTCTTTCTAGCTCTCTGTCTCAGTTCTTTTCCTTTCTTGTCTGGAAAACAAAGGCGGTCCGCGCTGCCAAGGGGAATGAGTTCAAAGGGACGGCAATTTTGGATTTCCTGAGAACTGGAGAGAGTGTGTGCATGCACACCCGTGCCCTCTTGAGTGTGCAAATGCAATGCAGAGGTGACGGTGACTTCCTTCTCAGCAAGGCTGTCATGCCCTAGGAGGGCCCACCCGAGACCCCCTGGTGACTGTCTGTGGAGTGGGCAGCAGGGTGGGCAAGTTGATATGCTTGGTTCTGCCTTTCTCCGCTCAGGGTCACACGACCTGTCTCACTGTGGGCTCAGGGGCCTGACCACTTGCCCAGCTCGAGCTGTATGTACTTGTACCCCCAATTCCATGAGAAGGCAAAGCTTGATGTTTTGCAATCAGGAGAATAAACCCAGTGGCTCTCCCATCTCCTCACCTCCCCCCATCCCTCCCTCAAGGCTTTAATTTAAAACACTGTTTTTCCTGGCAAGTGTAATTAGAGCAACATGTTTTCCCTAACGAGCTGGGTGGGGCAGCAGACAATGGAGCCCTCCCTGGCCTGGCCCCCAACTGTAGCTCCCCAAGGATCCAGATGTGAATGGCCAGAGGGCCCCCTGACTGTCCCACGGTGGGTGAGATGGCTCCAGGGCTACTGGTGGCAGGCTGACATAGGTGGGCAGAGGACCTTGCACACTCGTCCTTGGCCTTGGAGCTGAGTGGTGTCTGATGTGGAGGCCCCCAGCCTGGTGACACAGGCCTCCTAGTCTCTCAAGGCCCTCCACCCCCCAGCTCCTTGTTCTGACCTGGCCAGAGGAGCTTACCCATGTTTGAGATGTGGAAGCGAAAGTGATCCTGGTGAGAGAGGAGACCCCGAAGTCAGCAGGAGCTAGAAGATAGGGGTCTTGTAGACAAGGTGGTGGAAGTTGACTTTATCTTGAGGGCTGGGGGCCCTTTGGAGGGTTTGGTAGCAGAGTCCAGCATGCATTGACTGCTGGGAGGAGACCACCCCGGATGAGGAAGCATGGTGACCCGAACCTGGGAGAAAAGACAAGTGGATGGTCTTGATAGATACGGGAGACAGAAGGACTACCAGGGTGTGGTGGTCAGTTAGACATGGTGGTGAGGGCACTGGGGGCCAAGGATGGTATAAGTCAGATTCTGGACAAGTTCAGCATGGGCACCAGGAGGACACATGGGCATACCGAGCTCTAAGAGGTTGGACATGTGGTTTTGGAGACACGGGGAGCAGAGGCCTGTGTGGAGGGTCGAAGCCTTAGTATTTCAGGGTGGGTGGAGAAAGGGCCTGCTGAGCAGGGTTAAGAGCAGTCAGAGAGGGGTGACTACACACACAGATCATTGTTGGCTCTTGAGGAAAAAAGCTGCAGGGAAGTTGGGTGTGGGGGTTGTCGGAAGCAGGATTGTGTGGACAGAGGAGAGTAGTAGTGAGAGAGCAGAGGCTGTAGTGTAGACAGTTCTTTTCTTGAAGCTTCTCTGTGAAGGAAGGAAGGGAATTACGGAGGCATCCTAGCCGGGACACAGAGGAAGATATGGAGGGATAGGAGAGATGTGTCTTTCAGTGAAAAAAAGGAATGATCGTGAAACGTGGATGGAGGATGAAGGAATAGGAACAGTTCAACAGGACTTGAAGAAACATGGTAATAAGAGGCACAGAACAGCAGTAATTATATAAAATATAGTATATATAAATGATTGTATGAAACATAGTATAAGTGAAAGATTGGATAAAACACAATGTACCTGCATGAAAGACAATGAAAAAAAGAATGAACAAAAAAGAAATCAGAAGACGTGCTACTTTGGGCAAATCTGCTGTCAAAGGCTTCTTGAAAGTGCAAACATCAGTTTAAAGACCAAGAGGTGTTTGATCCCAGCCACGGGACTTCCATTGTTACACCAGCATCTGAAAATCAGGCAGCGAGTAAAGAAGGCTGAAGAAGAATCTTGCTGCCTTTGAGTTGTGTTGGAGAAGAGCACTGAGTGTCCCCTGGCCTGCTGAGAGAATAGACGAGCCTGGCCTGGAGGAAGCCCAATCCAGGAGCTCCTTAGAGGCGAGGATGGGGGAACTTGGCCTCATGTACTTTGAGCATGATGTCCAGAGGGGCCAGTCCTTGGAAAAAGACATCATGCTGGGAAAGGTGGAAGGTCAGAGAAAGAGAGGAAGCCCGTCAATGAGTGGACTGACAACAGTGACTGTGAGAGTGGCCTTGAGCGTGGCAGAGACGTTGAGGATGGCGCAGGACAGGACAGGACAGGATTCCGACTTGCTTGTAGGCCACTATAAGTTGGCATTAACTCGACGTCACTGGACAACAATATCAACCATTGGGTCACATGAGACACTGGGGAGGAGTGGGCAGATGTTCAAGGTGCCAGAGACGGCTTAGGTGTCAAAGTAGTAATAGCAAGGCCCCCACTCGTCCATGAGAGGGGACAGTGGCCGGGGAGGGGGCTCTGGTGACAGCTTGCAGGGGGAACATGAAGGCAGGGATGCTGGGGAGGTGGCAGCATGTGGCAGGAAGGTGCTGGGGCCCCTGGGGACAACAGGGTGGACGGAGGTGGTGGCTCTGTGATGCACTAACCTGTCTCTGCTTGTCTTTCTCTCCTGCTTCCTCCCGCTGGCCTGGCACTCCTCAGCTGGTTGCTCCTGCCTACTTCCTCCAGGGCCTCGTCCACACGGTACTGGGGCCTCCTAACCATCTCCTGCTTCTTTCTGTCACTTCCACAATGAAAGGGTGACCCAAAGTCTACAGGCTGGCGTCCTTTGTAGATAGGAGTACCTCTGCTACTGAGCTCTAGGGCGTCTGCAAGAGGGGAGATGTAAGGGGTACAGGCGCTCGAAGCAACCTGCTCAGAGTTTGGGGGTCTGAGAGGAAAGTTCCAGAAGAAAAGGTTCTGAATTTTCCTTGGCGATTTCGGGGGAAGGTGCAGGAAAGGTTTCCTTCTGTCTCCTTTTACTAGAGAGCTTGCAGGTCTTCCTCGATCCTCGTCTCTGCCTTTTCCTGGGAGCGAGTTGGGCATTAGCCCCAGGCAGGCACAAGCGGCCCACGTGTGGCCAACAGGCACGGCCTTCCGTGAGAAGAGGCCACCCCTGTCTGCCCCGCGGCTGAGGCTGAGTGCCAAGAGTGGGCCCCCGGCCAGTGGTCTCCTGTCGTGCAGGCTCTGCCTCCCTGACACCAGGTGGTGCCACTGTGTGGGCATGGTGGGCTCTGTGTGCTGGGTGGGCACCCCGAGTACTGTGTGTTGGGGCCACCATGCCCCAGGTCATGCAGAGGTCCTGTTTCTCTTAATAGCATCTCATCTCTCAGGCAGCCTAACGGTGGTGGGGCTTCCTGCATCCAGCGCCTGCATCATGCACCTGGAGGGAACTTCCACCGGCTCCTTCCCTCCATCCTGGTGATTTAGGGACGGTTAGAAAGTCAGTGCTGTAGCTCAATCTCGAGATACAATTATTACTGTTATTACAACACTAGTAATAATTAGTCATTGTTGTTATGTGCTGTTGAGTCGGACTCCCAGCTGACCCTCTGGGTGGGGTTTCAGAGGCTGTAGATTGCACAGGCGGAGATTGCACATCTTTCTCCCACGCAACAACTGGTGGATTCGAACAGTGGACCTTTGAGATTGCAGCGCAGCTCCTTACTACTGGGCCACCAGCTCCTCGATCGGTCATTGCTAATGGCTGATAAGTACTTTCTCCATGCTAGACCGCTTTGCTTTTGTTCTCATTTTATTGTAAAAGTCTTCATATGAGGATCCCAAGTCACAGTGCCTGAGGAAGCTGCCCCAAGGCCAACAGCTAAGAAGGGGCAGGGCAGGAACTTGAATGGAGTCTGTGATCTTAGAACATCAATCATGAGAGCACAGCGTCACATCCCCAAGTCACCAGGCAGAGGTGACAATTGGAGTTGGCTGGGAAGTGGTTTGTGGAATTGGGGTGAAGCTGTCCTGTTTCCCTGTTCCCCTTTCTCCCACCATGGACTTGAAGGCATCTGGGCAAGAATGGTGAGGTACCTTTTGAGAGGGATCCCAAAGCAAGTCACTTGGAAAAGGCAAAGATTCCATTGTTGATTGAGTTTGCTCGAGGCAAGCTCAATAAAGTGTCCAGGGCTTTAATTGTAGTAATGTTTACAAGAGTTAGGGCCTCCTCAGATGGACAACCACGTCCTGCACTGCACGTGGCCCCATGTCTAAGGGGGTGCAGTGTCCATGATGGATGTCATCTATTTGCATTGGTTAGATGATGTCTATCCTGGAAATCCTACTTGCGTTTATGAAGGATCTTGCTGGACTGCTAACCAAAAGGTCAGTACAAACCAGAAAGTTGGTGCTAGGGACCCATTGGTTGCTCTGTGCGAGATAGGTCTTTTCTGGACAGATTTTCAACCCTGGGAGCCCCTGGGACATTTATTTCTGCTCCTTCTGACAGGACCGCTGAGCCAGAATTTATATTTATTATAACCATCTTCCCAGTAGATGGCAGCAGAGCGTCTTGCTCTAATAAACTTACCAAATAGCAGAATTTCCCCCCTCCTGACATGGACGTAAAGAATCTTAAGAAAGGGACATCTTTCTCTAATTGTTGCGAAGGCGCCATGTGGCCTAGCAGTGGTGTCTTCCTGACAGTTCACACAAAGCAGGCCTTCATCTGAATGTTGTACAGGTAGTAGCGGCTTCAAGCTTTGCAGTAACATTGGAGGTCGATATAATTTTATTGACTGTGTTATAGATGAAACACGGAGCCACAGAGCGGAACACTTGTTGTCGGAACCAACTCGTAGTTGACCTTCCAGTGGATTTTCAGGGGCTGTAAACTGTGGGGAGACTATGGCCCATCTTTCTCCCGTGAGAGAATGAATTAAGTGATTTAATGGAATTAGGGCGCCGGGAACTGCATTCCTGACTCCTGGGCATTCTTCCCAGGGCTCCCTCCTTGGCTGATCAAATCCACGATAGCACCTGTCTCCCTCTCCCCACCCTGCACTTCTTCATCGTCTTTGGGGCTTACTTTCTTGGCCAGCCCTTGTTAGGAGCGAGTGGACACATGCCATGCTCCTCCCTGGCCTTTGGCTGTGAGAGGCGCACTAGCCGCCCTCTTGGGAACCTTGCGATGTCTCTCTGTTGGTATTTGATATGCATCAGCTTTGAACAAGGGATGATAACCTTGTTAGACTGATAGTGCAACCAAAAGGAGGCTAGAAGGAAAGGCCCACTGGGATGTTTCTGTTGTGTCTTGGGAGGGGAGACCCAAGTACCTTGAGAACCTAAGTGGTGGGAGGAGGGACAACGTGGGCCTCAGGAGCTTAGACCCCGAGAAAGATGGTGCTGGCAAAGATTGCCCCTCATTTATTTCTGCCTCCTTGTTTGCCCGCTTCCGAGTCTATATGCACGCTGCTCTCTCCTGTCCCTTCCCTTTCGGCCTTGATTTCCCTTCTTCCTTTGTCTCTGACCCATTTGGTGCTGTCACCTGCAGGCTGAGGATATGGACCTGCCCTACCCACCACCCCAGAGGGAGGCCAACATCTACGTGGTCCCCCAGAACATCAAGCCAGCCCTGCAGCGGACTGCCATTGAGGTGAGCCTGGCTGGGGCAGTGCTGTGAGGTGGCCCCGCTCCTCCACCCTCCTGGCTCAGCCCAGTGGGCCCTGCGTGTGGGGTCTTTCTAGCACCTTCCTTGTTCTGAACCTTCAGATCTTGGCCTGGGGCCTGCGGAACATGAAGAGTTATCAGCTGGCCAGTATCTCATCTCCCAGCCTAGTGGTGGAGTGTGGGGGTCAGACGGTGCAGTCCTGTGTCATCAGAAACCTCAGGAAGAACCCCAACTTTGACTCCTGCACCCTCTTTATGGAAGTGGTGAGCCCCTGTCTCCCCTCTCTCCCTGATGGCTTACATGTCCTTGTGACGACCTGGGGGTCCTGCCCCGATTCACGCCTAGGTCCTGAGGAGCATGTCTTTTGCAACACTGCCCTGTTGTGTCACGTGAGGACACAGTCACACTTCACCCCCCGGGTGCCCTGGAGCCCATGAGCAGGACAACGAGAGCGAGCTTGCCCCTCCTGACCACACCCCAGATGAACAGAAGGAGCGGGAGTGTCCTGTGCTCACTGTCCCTTTCAGGGCTGCCTCAGACCTCAGGACCCCCCCCGGCAGAGTCTCCCTCAAACCTTTTCATGCCAGGTCCTGCCCCATTCTGGACACTCCAGTGTGCCTGCCCCTCATCCTTGCTTGATGGGGTTGGGCCCCCCCCCCCAGATCCCGGGGCTGCCCGAGTCTAGTGGCCAGAGTCAGGCGAGTCTGAGGAGAGGAAAATGGTTGCAAGATGAAAGTGCTCTAGAAATTCCAGACCCAGTGGCTGTCAACAGGAGCCCCCTCTTGGCTGAGCCAAAGCCGCCGCTGAAGGAGAGCGTATAAATTATTTCAAGTTGTGTTCAGAGTGCTTTCCAGGAGGGGAGGGGGAGGATCTTGGTCGGGAAGCCAACTCTTGAGTATCCACTTGGGGGGCACTGTCTGTAAGAAATGTTCAGTCCCGGGCCAACTTCTCCCTCCCCGGCCAGTGTGGGTTCAGGGGAAGTGGACTGACTTCAGCTCTAGGCTGAGCTGGCTGGTGTCTCTGGGAGGTGAGTCTGTGAGGGAACGCTGGCTTCCTACACGTCTGTCCAGGGGCAGACGGGAGGTACGTGGCTGCTTCAGTGAGTCCTCGGCCAGCTCCTGGGCACCATCAACGCCATTTTGCATTTACTGCTGCTGGGACTTGTGGAAGGGTATGCAGCGTCTTGTGAAGAAGGGCCTCCCTCCTTGCCCACCCTCAACCCTGACTTCCCAGACAGGGATCTAGGCTAGGCCAGTTCCCAGAGCCACCCTCCACCCCTGCCCAGATGCTGCCCAAGGAGGACCTCTACTGCCCTCCCATCGTGGTCAAGGTCATCGATAACCGCCAGTTTGGCCGCAGGCCTGTGGTGGGCCAGTGCACCATTCGCTCTCTGGAGAGTTTCCTGTGTGACCCCTATTCCACGGAGAGTCCGTCCTCACAGTGTTGTCAAGGTAGGGAGAGGGCCTGCACTGGGGGAGGGCCAGGGAAGAGGAGGCCTCAGCAGTGCATTTTCCAGATGGGATGTGTCAGAATGACGGGGACCGGAATGAGGAGTGCTTTGTGCTCAGCTGGACCTGAAGGCGGAAACCTGACCTTCTTCAGGCCATAGTCTAGCTCAGAGCTGGCCGCGCCAGGGCCAGACGGACAGTCCCGTGGGGACCGAGGGCCGGGTGCTCCAGCGTGGGTGGTGGTGAAGGAGCAGTGGAGACAGAAGTGCAAGGGGGAGAGAGCAGAGGTGGAAAGGGTGGCGAGAAAGAGGAGAAGTAAGGAGAGAGAGAGAGAGAGTTGGCAGGAAGATGGAGAGGGGGAAATGAGAGAAGGGAGTGGAAGGGAGGCCCCGGGACATGTGGAAAGGTGTCTCCTCCCACCATTCTTAGTACCTCGCAGTACGTTGATCTGTGGCTATGTCTTGTGACTAGTGGGGACTTCGGAAGACCCTCGATAAGATGGACCAACGGTGTAGCACTGGGTTGAGCAGGTCAACCATGGTAAGAATGGTACAGGTTGGAGCAATGTGCGAGGCTGGTGCAAGGCTGTGGCAAGGGCCAGGTCTGTTGTTCGGAAGGTCACTTGGAGTCGTAGTCTACCCAACAGCACCTGCCGCACTGGCCACCTCTCCAAGTCCCTTCTCAGACCTGTCATTGCTTTCCCTGCAGATGACGTGAGCTTACTCAGCCCTGCAGAAGACGTGCTCATCGACATTGATGACAAGGAGCCGCTCATTCCTGTCCAGGTAGACACCGCCTCCCACCAAGAACTGGTCCTGAGGGCTTCCTGCCGCGCCTCCTCTCCTCTCCTTCACTCCTCATCTCTTCCCAGTCATCCTCCTCGACCCTCCCTTCTCTCACAGCTTCTGCAAGCAGCTCCCTCTATGTCGGCTGGTCACCCTGTGCACCAGGGAGCTTCGATGGAGAACTGGAGAGAAAGTTCTGGTCTTCTGGGCACCATCGAATCCTTTCCCTGGTAGTGTGGGGGAACAGTGGGCCTCCACCTTGGTTATGCTGACAGCTTCCCCCATCATTCAGTACGGCAGAGGGAGAGGAGGGCATGTGAGAGAAGGAGATGGGGAGGAAGTGACTGGGCCATCACGGGGGTGCTGTGGCCCCTTTGACTTCCCAGCCAGCCAGGACCCTTCCTGGAGGGAGATTCATCATGGGCTTGTGTTTGATGGCACCTTGGAAGCAGCTAAGAAAGCTGGACCTGTGTCCAAGTCCTTAGACCCTCTTTCATTTCTCCCACCTGTCAGGAAAAGGGAGAGAAACGTTACTCCAAGGGCATCTGATCCTCCGGACATGCGAGTTCCCCTTTTGCTATATACACAGTTGTAGACCCAAACACCAGAGCCAAGTGACAGAGCAGGGCGTCTGTGGCATCTTTTATAAAGAGGGGAGCCCTCTTGGTCCCTGAGGTGGCTCCGGGTCCGGTAGAGCAGACACCACCCAGGCTTTCTGGCAGGTGGAGGAAGCTCTCGCCGTGAGTGCCAGTGTGCTCTTTAGTCCAGGTTGTCACTTTCTCTTCTAGATTGTCACCCACTTCCCTGCAGGATACCGCCACACCCCTGGAATTCTCAGGGGCCTCTGTAAACAGTCTTGTGTACTCAGGCCCAGAGCCTGCTTACTCACCTGACGCCGAGGACGACACTTCAGAGGACTCGGTGTTCTCTGCACCATCAAGAGTAAGAGAGTACACTGCAGTGGTGGGCCGAGCACAGGATCCTCGAAGCTCAGCTCTCAAGCTCTTACTTGAGATGCAATTACTCTTCTTTCAAGCATTTATCTCTTTTCTTTCTCTCTTTCATTCCTTCTGCCACTCCCAGGGGCAGCCCTGGCATTCGGCCCTGTGGCCTGGCTGGTGCTTCCAAGGGAAGCCTTGCTGGGCTCTGGAGTTTCAGGGCTGTGATGCCCTCAGCCGTCCTGGGTTCTCCTCTCCTCGTGTCTGCAGCCTCCTGACTCCCTGTGGCTCTGTCCCCATTCCTCCTGTTGGGTAGACTTTCTGTCCCTGTCCTCTTCCTCAATTCCAGGCTGTTCTTTGAGGCTCAACTTGGTGTGTGTTCCTCTCTGACTTCTCCCCTTCTCCTCCTAGTCCTTGTCTATATCTGATCATTGCATTTCCCTCAGATGCTGTTTATTTCTGGAAATGTCTGGATTTTTCTAGCCTCAGAGCAGGTGCCAGGGCCCATTTCTCTCTGTATTCTTGGTGCACCATTCAGGGCCTGGCCTGGAGGAGGCGTTCAGTAAGCATCTGTGTGGATGGATAGATGAATGGCCAGGTAGGTAGGTGGGTGGGTGGGTGGGTGGCTGATGTTCTGGTTCCCTCTGTGGGACTGAGGAGGAGCGTCTCTTGAAAGGCTTGGGGGGAACCCAAGTAGGAATGTCGCAGGGGCCTCTGAGAGATCAGCTAAGCCCAGTGTGAGCATCATCAGAACTTGGTGGGTCTGTGTAACTGAGTCAGGTAGATGAGTCTCCCTATTCTAGGCTGCCCTGCTCTTGGCTCCTGCCCTCTGCGCCCTCAGTGGACCCATCGGAGACTGTGCAGGGAAACCAGGACCTGCCAGTAGGATTTCCGTTCTGTGCGCACTGCCCTCGACATGTCTCTGCACAGCGGCAGACAGAGAGGAAGCCCAGTCTGGCTGTCCTCCCAGCATCGACAGGAGTGAACTCGGGCCAGAGCCTGAGCCAGGCGGGCTCTGAGAGCCTGTGGGAGTGCAGGGCCACTGCCTGGAGCTGCTGGCCAAGGGCGGGGGGCCGGGACCTGGCCATCTGGAGGGATGCCCATGCGGGGCGGGGCCTGAGAGGCCCAGAGGTTGCCAAAGGGAAGGACGAATACAAGGTGAGCCTGCCTGTGGAGGAGGCTGGGGACCTGCGTCTCCTTGAACTTCTCATCTGATGGAGGCGGTGAAGCCCTAAGCTCACGGAAGCCCAAGTCTTGGAAGGAAATGGTTTCTTGTGTCCAGGGACCGCTGGCCTGGTGGAGTCTGGTTTGGTGCTTTGAGGAAGTCCTCCATCTGCAGTCTGATTTTGTGTTGTGTTTTCCTCTGACATTCATTGGTCACATCAGCTGATCCAGGAGATGTTTGTCCTCTCATCTCCCCGGAGCCCTGGCCTGTGGAGGATCCAAGCACTCCAGGCCTGATCCAGGAGGCGGTGGGTTCCAGTTCCACGTGTTTTGTCAGGTGGTTCTGGCTGTCTTCTCACCCCACTGCACCCCATGCAGATAGAATGGAGAGTCCTTGGGGACTGGAGAGTGACACGATTATGCAAAGGCATTTAATTACGTAGATTGTAATAAAGTATAGATAACACTGAAAAGAATGGGAGTTCAGAATACTTAATTATGCTCACGTGAAACCCGCACATAGACTTAAGAAGCAGTCATTTAAACAGCGCAAGAAGATACTCCATGGTTTAAAATTAGGGAAGGAGGACGCCAGGCTGGATCCTTCCCAATACATATGCAGTCTGTATGCTGAGCGCATAATTTGAAAAATATGAGTACGTGAAGACAGACGTGACATCAAGAGTGGAGGGAACTCGTCAACTGCTTGTTGATGACACAACCTTGCTTGTAGAAAGTGAAGACTTGAAGTGCTTACTGAGCAGGGCCGACAGCTAATAGGATTACACTTCAATGTCAAGGAAACAGAGCTCTTCACCTCTGAACCAACAGGCAACGTCATGATAGATGGAGAAAATGTTGAAGATGCCAACGATTTCGTTTTGCTTGGATTCACAGTCAACACGCATGGGAACAGCAATCGAGGGATGTGTTGGGTTGAGTGAATGTGCTGTCAGAGACCTCTCTAACGTGCTAATGAACAACAATTCCAGTCTAAAGACTAAAGGATGTCTGACCCAAGGCAAGGCATTTTCAGTTGCTTCTTACTCACATGAAAGTTAGACAATGAGTAAGGATGACTGAAGAAGAATGGATACCTTTGAATTATGCTGTTGGTGAAGATACTGAATATCCCATGTTGTTGTGTGCCACTGAGTCTGAACCAGCCCATAGCTGACCCTCCAGTGAGTTTTCAAAGGCAGTAAATTGCATGGGAGAAGATTGCCCATCCTTCTTCCGTAGAGCAGCTGGTGGATTCGAACTATGTACCTGTGAAATTGCAGCACAGCTTTGCTTCTTGACTCTCCTGTGGATGTTCCAGACGCCACCAGGGGACTCCTTAGAGGCAAGGATCAGGAAATTCAGGCTGTCACATTCTTTAGAACATGGGTCACCAGGGGTCAGTCCTTGGGAAAAGAGATCATGCTCAGAAAAACAGCGGGTCAGCGAAACAGAGAAAGATTCACAACAAGACGGTGTGATACAGCTACTGCAGCAGTGAGCCAGCCCCGGCGTGGCAGAGATTGTGAGGACGGCACGAGATCGAGGTGCTCGAGCGTGGCAGAGATTCTGAGGACGGTGGCATGAGATAGGGCAAAGTTTGTATCTGTTGTTTAGAGAGTTGCTGAGTTGTAGTCGACTCGAGGGCACTTAATAACAATTGTTTACCCGATCCGTGCTGGGTTTACCCGAAGAAGTCTGGGTTCTTCTCATGGTTGTACAGCCAGGGCTCTCGCTCGGCCTGTGGAACCAGGTGAGGGCTCTTGTGTAGCTTCTCATATGCCTTTTGCCACATCTGGTTTCTGTCCTCTCACTCTGGGGTTCTGCTGTCTCTGTGGAACCTTCTCACCGTCCTATGCCTCGTTCCTGGCATGAGACAGCCACTCATTTAGGAAGCCTCATCCCACATGCTTTTGTGATGCTTAGTTCACTTGTTTATGGAAATGCCCTTGTTTGTGCAGAGGGTGTCTGGTTCTGAGCATCTCTCAGTGTTTGATGCACAGCCTCCCAGGTCTCGTAGACGAGCCCTCCTGAGATAAACATTAGAATGTGAGCACGCTCTTGAGGAAGCCGGGCTGAAGATGCAGCCAGGCTCTGCAATGGCCTAGCAAGAACTGTGCCCTTGACTTTGAACTTTCCGAGGGTGCCTGGCTTCATTTCATCTATTTCTCTGCTTCTAAACACGCATTCGTTACTTTCCCCTTTGGTTATAATAAATCTAATACCTGTTCGTAATAAAACATTTGGAAAATACTGGCATGTAGGGTGTGTAGATGGCCTCCGTGCACACAGCCTGGAGGAACTAGTAAGGTTTGAGGTTCTATCCTTTCTCTTCTTTCCTGTGCTACCTCTGTCCTTTGTTTAAACTCTGAATTGATAACAGACTGGAGATCTTTCTTTTACGCACATGTTTTCCAGTTCTTGGTGTTCTGATGGGGGTGTTCAGAACATGCAAGGTCCCCTACCCCCATGACCTCCATACTCTCTCTCCCTGTCTCCTTCAGAGCATCTTAAAGGAGGGGTCCATCCCCTTCCACCTCGGCCACCTTGTAGGCCTGCCGAGGCCCCTGGAATGTCAAGGCTGCCTCTTGCTCATCATTGGAGAGAGCATTTCAGTGTAGGAGGGTTCTTCGTTCAGTTCTTAGAGAAGAGGAAGTTCTGAAGATGAGGATGTATGTGTGCCGAGGAGGGCTGAAGAGAAAGGAGGGCTTGAGAAGCTTCCACTCCAGCTGGGAGGAAGATGAGAGACGTCAAACAGACCTCGACCACGGTGCCCAGAGTGACAGGCAGCGAGAGCGGTGTTGTGAACAGGGGCACTGAAGTCTGAGCTTTCTCGGTCCTGGGAAGTCAGCATGGAAAGTAATCTGAGGAAGAATCTCTCCCTCCAGAGGGGCTGGTGAATGAATTCAAAGGCCAGTAAGGTTTGAATAGAGGAAGTGAGAAAAAAGGCTTTAAAAAAATGCCCTTGCTTACCAGGAAGTACCAAGGTGGTCTAAGATCCCCGTACTTTCTTGGAAGATGAAAAGGGACTTGTGTATGAGTGCTTGGTGGTCACGGGGTGTGTGTATTGGTGGTGGAGACGTGTGCCCGCGAGCATGTGGTGGGGCGTGCAGGAGGGTGTGCTCTTGGTACATGTGCATGTGCGTTTGTGGTGTGTATGCACGTGTGTGTGTGGTGCTGGCGGTGGTGGCAGCGTGACCCTGGGGCCCAGCAGGCTGTGGGGAGGAAGGCCAGAGGCAGGGGCTGGGTGGGGGTGGTCAGGCTGGCTGGCGTCCAGGCCCGGGGTCATTTTGAGCGTCCTGCTCCGGTTGTATGTCCAGGTTGCAGTGGATGTGGGAACGTGCTCCTCCAGCCTGAGTGGCAAATTATGGCGAGTCCCAAAGGGGAACGTGTAATTTCTGAAGCCGGACCAGATCTTTGGCGCACTATGTTTAGCTTTATTTTTCCTTTTTTTCCACTCTGGTGAACTACCGGTTTCCCTTGCACCTTTCCTAAAAAAGACCCGTGTTAAAAATACAAGCTGGCCTTCTGCGGGGTTCAGGGTGAGAACAGGAGGGCAGCCTCTGGCTGATGGGGACTTCACTTGGAGTCTAGCCAGTCCCTTCCAGAGCCCTGCCATGCCCATCAACATGTGGCCAGTGCCCGAACTGTCCTTGGTCTAGCTGGGCACTCCTTGGCTGTCCGCCCTCTTGCTGGTGTCTCTGACAAGGGCCCTATCAGCAGAGTTCTCTTCACAGAGCGTGGATGGTCCTGTGAGTTCCGCATGCCCTCTCTCCATGGTCCAGCACAGCTCCACACGTGTCCTCTCAGGTCCTCTTGAGATACCTACCCTGAGCGTGGAAGGAGAGGAGGCCCTAATTCTAGAAGTTCTGGGCCCAGCTGGTCTCCTGACCTCTCTAGCCTGACCTCCTTGCGTCCTGTCCCCATCCCTGCTGCTTCCTGAATATACCATACTCCTTATTCCTGGAACCCCAGGTTCTGCTGTGCCCTGTGCCTGGAACATATGTCCTGGATGAGCGTGTGGTAGTCTTCCCTGGATGGCTGCTGTGTCCTCTGGACCAGTGTTCCTGCCTCTCATCCTCATCCCCAGTCCTTTTCCAGCTCGTGCCCAGGAACTTGCCCCGTGAGGTATTGATTCTTAGCCTGGGCGATTGTACACCAGTGTCTGATGCCTGAAAAGAGTGCTGTCAGTTTTCTGCAGTATAGGACCAGCGTGTGTTGTGGTGGTGTTGTTAGGTGCTGTTGAGTTGACTAGTGACTCTTGGTGACCCTGTGAACAACAGATCTGAGCCCTGGCCTGTCCTGCACCACCACCACCACCGTCTCTGATGTGCTCCAGCCTGTTGCTCCAGTCCCCGTGTCAGTCCTTGTTACTGAAGGCCTTCCTCTCTTGTGCTGACCCTTCACCTTTCCCAGCATGCTGTCCCCTTCCACGGGCTGGCCTCTCCCGACAACATGCCCACAGTATGTGAGACCAGGTTTTGCCATCCTTGAATCCAAGGAGCATCCTGTTGCACCTTCTCCTCCTCCTGTTTGTTCTTTTGTTATCCATGGGATATTCGATACTCTTCCCCGACACCACAGTTCAAAGCCATTGATTCTTCTGTCTTCCTTTTTCATTGTCCAGCTTTCAGATGCATAGGAAGCAATTGAAAATTCTGTGCTTTCGATGAGGGGGTCCTTAGTCTTAAACTGAATAAATCCTTGCTCACTTTGGAGAGTTTGTAGCAGGTTGAACTAGAAGATTCTTTGAAGTGCTGCTTAACCTAGGTTTGCGGGAAGCTCTAAGTGTCCTATTTATGACCTTGAGGAGACAAGACCCTGAAAATCATGCCCCACAAGGGCTAGTCCAGTGCTGGGTGAGATGGCCCAGCTGCCAGAAGAAACCATGAATGGGGAGCTTGCACTTTCAGATTTTGGAGAGGCCAAGAGGACCCTTGAGAGTAAGACATTCCGTGAGTGGATGCCAAGGACAGTGAGGAAGTGGGAGAGTGACAGGTACTGACCGATCACCTTCCAAGTCCCTCCTCCTGTGCTGGTGGCCTGTTCTTCTCATCCGTACTCATTGGGGCCCTGTGAGGGGGGCCCCTGTTACTGCTCTGAGTTGGGGTGCCAACTCAGAGAGGCCATGGCCTTGGCCGTGCTCACATAGCTGGTAGAGCAGTGGAGCCAGGCTTGACCAACTTCAAACCACAGGCTCTTTGTCCAGCTCCCTGACCTGCTGGAGGGGCAGCAGAGGGTGCCCGCCTGGGGAGCCCCATCTCCACGCAGCCATCTGATGTTGCCTGAAGTGCTTTCTCTAACCCTGTGGCTAACTGGCATGTTTAATTTGTAGCTTGCAGATGGTCTGTCTGGCTCGGCCCCCATTAACACGGCATCTTCTCCCTGCGATCCTCATGTATGTATTGTTCATCGGCTTGGGGCTTTTCTGTTTCTTTTGGGGGTGTGGGGAGGATGAGGAAGGGCACAGGGGAGGGAACAGTGAGGGGGAGGAGATGAAAGGAGCTAGTTCCTGGGTTCCAGAAGAAAGCAGTAGTGTTTCATCCTTCTGCTTGCTGAGGGAGACCTGGACAGAAAGCCATGGGGTGGGCTTTTAGAAACACATTTCTCTATATTAGCTCCTGGTGTAGCTGTCCTGGGGTGTGCCTGAACTCTGTTGACCTGTGTAGAGACTGAAGAGTTGAATGGGGTCATATGCAGTGGGAGCCAGGACCTGGGATGGTGGGAGATTGGCTTTCTCTGTTCCTCCTAGCTGCATGAAGGGTGTATGAGTGAGAACCCTGGCTATTCTGGAAGGTTCTGTGAGGTCTCGCTGGGCCAACAGTCAGGTCTGTAGACCTCACAGGGCTCCTTTATGCCTGCTGGGCTGGTGTCATTTTTACGTGTCATGGTAGATGACTTTTGTGTCTAGCCTTCAGCAGCTATTCCTCAAGTCCCACTGTGAGGGCCAGGACGGAGCCCCTCACCTGCCGAGGGAAGAATGAGAGTTAGGACCCACCCAAAGTCAGTGAGTTAAATGCCATTCATGATACCAAGGAGGACGTGCTCTAGTGTTGATTGTCTTATGAGCTGAATTAAGACACAGGGCTTCTAGGAGGAGGCCCTTTTCCTTGATTCTTCCATTGTAGACTATGGGAAGCATAAAAACGCCAGGGGCAAAGTTAAAACCAACACAGTTCCTACCAGCTGGGGGAAAAGATGAAATTTTTTTTTCACACTTAAACTTTTTTTTAAAAATTATTAATTTCAATGAACATTTACAGAGATTTTGGATTTCCATTCAGTCATTGTTGTACTTTTCTTCCCGTCCATCCCACCCCCACCCCTAGTTGGCTCTTCTCCTTGAAAAGCAAAAGAAAAACTCCTTCATTGGTACACAATCCCCCCCATAACCCCCCCCACCCCGAGTACACTCCACTCTGCAACCCTCATTCCGAACTCTTATGATAATCATAATGCCCTAAAATATATTATTTTTAAACTGTTCTCTCCCTCATCGGCTTCAATGCAGTATACATAATTTATCCAGTTTTTCTCAGTCTTACCCCCACCCTGATGTCAGCCTCATTCTACAACAGTAGCACCATACAGTATTTGTCCTTTTGTGACTGAGATATTTAACTCAGCATAATGTCCTCCAGGGTCACTCATTTGTAATAATATTGCATGAGTTCCTTGTTTTTTCAGTGCTGCATAGTATTCCATTGTGTGAATACACCACAGCTTCTCTATCCATTTGTTTGTTGATGGGCACTTGGGTTGTTTCCAACTCCTTGCTATTGTGAACAAAGCCGCGATAAACATGGGTTTGCATATATCTGCTTGGATGTCAGTTATGGTCTCTTTGGGGTATATTCCCAGTAGTGGAATTGCTGGGTCAAATGGTATCTCTATTTGCAACTTTTTGAGACAGCGCCATACCACCTTCCACAGTGGTTGCACCATTTTACACTCCCACCAACAGTGAATAAGAGTTCCAGATTCTCTACAACCTCGCCAGCATTTGTTGCTTGCTGTTCTGTTAAATTTTGAGGTGAGATGATATCTCATAGTTGTCTTGATTTGCATCTCTCTTAGAGCTAATGATTTGAACATTTCTTCATGTGCTTGTTGGCCATCTGAATGTCTTCTTTGGTGAACTGTCTGTTCATATGCTGTGCCCATTTTCGATTGGATTATTTACCTTTATCTTGTTGTGGTGCTCAAGTATTTTATAGATTCTAGATATAAGTCCCTTATCTGACATGTCATTACCAAACTCTTTTTCCCAGTCTGTGGCTTCCCTTTCTACCCTTTTGGAGAAGTTTTTGGATGTGCATAGGGATTTGATTCTTAGAAGGCCCCATTCATCTATTTTATCTTTTCCTGGTTGTAAATTTTTCAGGATACTTGGAAGACTGTTTATGTTGTGGATTAGGACTACTAAAGTTCTTCCAAGCTTTTCTTTAATGAAGTTTATAGTCCTTGGTTTTAGTCCTAGGTCTATGATCCACATTGAGTTTGTTTTTTTGTATGGAGTGAGGTGTGGATCTTGCTTAAGAAAAAGACGAAAATTTTGAGCACCTACATTTTTAGATAATTTAAAAGCTCAAGTGCATACTTCTAGTTTATAAAGCTTAAATAATATTACTTTTTAATAATCTGTACCTTTTTTCTATAATCATCATTTAAAAATATTTTCTATTGGTTTGCATACAAAATTCATATACATTGTGTTTCACACTTTCCTTCATTCACATTGTGTTTCATACAATCATGCCCATATGTTGTATTTTATAAAATTAATCACCATTGGACTACACCCTTCCACCATTACCCTGTCTTTCCAGATTCCCACTGGATCTTTCCCATTTCCTTTACCCTTTCCTTTCACCTACCAAATTGTACAACCCAACGACCCCTTACTCCCATAGGCCGCATATACACATTTTACTAGTTATCCCGCAATTTTTTCCAATAATGGTCTCATGTAGTATTTGTCCTTATGAGGCTGAGGTAGTTGACTCAGCAAACTGCTCTTCAGTCTCTGCCAAGTTATGTAATTTTTTAAAAAATCTTTGTTCCTGAATGCTGTGTAGTATTCCATCATGTGAATGTACCACCGTTTCTCAATCCATTCAATTATGGTTGAACATTTGGGCGGTTTCCATGATCTTGCAGTGGTGAATAATGCTACAATGAACACTGGTGTATAAATCTCTATGTCTCAGTTCTGTTTTCCTTGGGGTATATTTCTAGCACTAGAATAGCTGGGTCATAGAGAATTTCTCTGTTCAGCTTTTTGAGGAAATGCCAAATTGCTTTCCAGAGTGGTTGAACCATTTTATATTCCCATCAATAGTGCATGAGATTTCCATTCTCTCCACATCCTCTCCAGTATTTATTGCTTGCTGTCCTGTTAAACTTTGCTGCTGCTACTGGGGTGAGATGGTATCTCATTGTGGTTTTGATTTGCATCTCTCTTATTGCCAGTGATTTTAAGCATTTCTTCATGTATCCGAATGTCCTCCTCTGTGAAAGGTGTTTCCATGTCTTTTGCTCACTTTGTAATTGTGTTATCAGTCTTGTGGAGGCCCAAGAATATTCTGTAAACTTTTGTTATGAGACCCTTTTCTGAGCTTGTATTGCTAAATGTATGTTCCCAGTCAGTAGGATTTCTCTTCATTCTATTTGAAAAATTTTTTGATTCACACAGGGATTTAATCTTTAGAAGGTCCCATGCATCACTTTTACCCGTTCCAGACTGTGCATTTCTGGCTGTATTTGTCAGCCTATTTATACCATAGACTAGGCCTTCTAAGCTTGATCCCATTTTGTCTATCTTTACATTTTTTAGGTTTATCTTTATGGTTTTGCGCTTTACACGTAGGTCTCTGATCCACCTTGAGTTGATTTGTGTGTGTGGTGTGAGGTTGAGATGTGGATCCTGCTTCAGCTTTCTGCAGGTAGTAGTCCTGTTTTGCAAGACCGTTTGTTGGAGATGTGTCATTTCCCCATTTGATAGGTTTTGTTTCCTTGTCAAATATAAGTTGACCATAGGTAAATGGGTTATTTATGGGTTCTCAGTTCTGTTCCATTGGTCTGTGTGCCTGTCACTGTAACTGTACCATACTCTTGTGGCTTTTACAGTTTTTTAAAAAAGCTTCTTAATACAGGCTTAACTCATTTCTTGTTAAGTTTATTCTTAGGCAGTTTATATCATTTGTTACTCTTCTAAATGAGTTTCCCTCTATGACAATGTCTAAGGTATTGCCAGTGTTCAAGAAAGCAATATTTTTGTATGTCTACATTAAAACAGACTCTTTATTTAGTTCCTTTGTGACTTCTAATGGTTATTAATGGACTGTCTTGGATTTTCCTGGTAGGTGCAATTTTTTTTCTTCAAATAATGACGAATCTGTTACTCCTTGTAACTGTGGTTGTTGTTAGGCTCTGTCAAGTCAGCTACAGCTCGTAATGACCCTGTGAATGAGAGAGCCAGACTGTGTCCTACCCTGTGCCATCCTCATGCATCTGATAGTTAGCCCTTCCTCCTTTTCCAGGAGACCGTGTAATCATTGAGGCGCTGGAAGCCGAACATAGTCACTGATTCTAAGGAGAATGTCGCTCCTGTTTTCCCACTAAAATTATCATGGTTAGTTTCAGTTTCATAGTTTTGATTTTACTGAGGTACTATCCATCTCATCATAGTTTATTGATAGCTTGGGGATTCAATTTATCAAATGCCACCTACTGTCATATTATCTTCTTTTATTAACAATCTGCGTTATACAGATGACACAACCCTGCTTCTGAAACTGAGGAGGACCTCATGCACTTGCTGTGAAGGGTCAAGGACTGCAGCCTTCAGTATGAACTGAGGCTCAATGTCAAGAAGACAAAGATTCTCACCACTGGACCAATTGGCAGCATCAGGATGGATGGCGAAGAGATTGAGATTGTACACAGCTTCAGTTTGCTCGGCTCCACAGTCAACACTCTTGGCACCAGCAGCCAGGAAATCAAAAAACATATCGCAATGGGAAAGCCTGCTGTTAGGGACCTCTTTAAAGTATTCAAGAGCAACAGTGTCTCTCTGGAGACTAAGGTGCGCCTGATACAGGCCATGGTCTTTGCAATCACTTGTTATGCATCAGAGAGGTGGACAATGACTAGGGAGAACAGAAGGAGAATTGATGCCGTTGAGCTGTGATGCTGGAGAAGAGTATTGAATGTACCATGGACTGCCAAGAAAACAAACAGATTCATCTTGGAGAGGATTAAACCAGGCTGCTTCTTGGAGGCAAGGATTCTGAGGCTTTGTCTGACATACTTTGGTCATGTTGTAAGGAGGGACCGGTCCTTGGAGAAGGACATCATGCTTGGGAGAGTGGAGGGCAGGTGCAGGAGGGGAAGACC